CGCCGGTGCAGCGGCCCTTGCACACTTGTCACTGTATTCAGGCCATACAGCGCGTCGCTTTTCCTGTAAAGGGGGGAAGTGAAGGATTAATAAAATTACCATAAGCCACCGAATCAATATTCAAAAAATTAGCATCCACCATAATATTCATGTTTTTCCTTTTATTTTTAGATGTAGCAGGTAAGTCAACCATGTAATCAATGCGATCAGAGTTTTCTTTGAAAGTAGAATCAATGCTTATATTAGGATTAACATAAATAGGATTAGGAAAGTTGGGCATATTACCCGAGATGACCTTTACCATAGCCTCAACATGAGGAGAACAAGGATCATGAAGAATATTATTAGGAATATTAGGACGGGCTTCAGCATTTGAATTTGGTTAAACAGCTGATTCTACAACCTCAGCAGGATCGGGAATTTTTTCTCGAGTAGCATTGGTAGGCATGTTATCCAGAACTGTAGCATTTGAAACAGAAACATCCTATGAAATAGGGACAAGAGAATTAGCCATTTTGATAATGTTATGTTTCCTCAAGTGAGGATGTAAGTGATAATATTCCATCTTATTATGTCCCAAAGCTTTATAATGATCACAAAAGCTAGGGAAAATCGCTCTCATGGCAACTTTATGAATGTTACCATATTTCTCTAGCCCTACCCAAATAGAATAAGGGTATTGTAACACAACTCTCCTTGGCCTATTGGTTGAGAGCTAAGGCTACCAACTAAGAGGTCTAAGATTCAAGTCTCTGTGTATGCGTTGTGTGTGTGAGTTTGCCTTAAATGACCTAAATGTCCCAAAAAAAATAAGGGTATTGTTTTGTTTTATCCAACTCAACTAAGATACTCGCCACAAAAGGTGGAGACCCTAAAGTTGTGGCATTATAGGTTTGTAAGGGCAAGCAAAGTACCCAAATCATGCAAAATACAGTGAGTAAACAGATGAGGGCTTAAATCTGGGAAAGAAATCCATACAAGGACAATAGGAGATTCAGTAGAAATGTCAAACATCGATATCCACTTAATCAATGTCAAACATCCTATGAAATAGGGACAAGAGAATTAGCCATTTTGATAATGTTATGTTTCCTTAAGTGAGGATGCAAGTGATAACATTACATCTTATTATGTCCCAAAGCCTTACAATGTTCAAAAAAGCTAGGGAAAATCTCTCATGACAACTTTATGAATGTTACCATATTTCTCTAGCCCTACCCAAATAGAATAAGGGTATTGTTTTGTGATATCCAACTCAACTAAGATATACGCCACAGAAGGTGGGAGACCCTAAAGTTGTGGCATTATAGATTTATAAGGGGCGACCAAACAAAGTATCTAAACCATGCAAAATACAGTGAGTAAACAGATGATGGCTTAAATATGAGAAAGAAATCCATGCATGGACAATAGGAGATTTAGTAGAAATGTCGAACATCGGTATCCACTTAATCAATTTCATGAAATAATTATTCATATAATAAGCTCTTCTAGAGAAAATCTTTTTGTAATTCATATCATTTGAAAGTTTGATGAGCACATGTCTAGGATCCAACAAGTAAGAGAAAATTTACTGGAAAGTTTGAGTGCAAAGAAGAACTTCTAGATATTATCCAAAGTAGGACGTCTGATCAGAAATTTTTTGACCAAAGCAAATTCGAACGTCACAGCTAAAGCCAGGATCTCCTCTTTGGAAATCTAAAGAGACGGTAAACCCTTGTGTGTGAAAAGCACTAAATCAGGTAAAGCTTGTGACAAAGAACCCCAAGCCAAGGCTTCCTTGAAATACCTAAAGGGTTCTTCGAGTCTAGGAAACCTGGATCTGACCACTTAAGAGTCTAATATAGCGTGGAAAACACACCACGATGAAAAATAAACCAAAAATAAAAACCAATAACATGAGAGGAAAACCAGTAAAGGAAACTAGGAGAAAAACGAAGAGATTAGACAAAAGGAAGAGAAAAAAGCATGAAGAAAGAACGAATGTGTCAATGCAAAGAAAATCCTAGCAGAGCAAAACTTAATTTAAGTGAAGGTTAATTTAGTTGTTTAAAAGATATAATTATAACGCAAGTAGATATGTCATAAAAATATAGAGAAATTATGAAATATAAAACTTTCTCATGAAATAATTAACCTACATAATTTTAGATTCTCACTTTTTATAATTAATTTAAATATATAAAAAATAGAAGTTCTATATCTTAAAATTTATGATTTTTTTTTTTTTTGCAGTAATAATTCATTGAAAATTTCCCCCATTAGAGACTTGATGTTTTAGGAGTCAATTTAGAAAGTAAGAGAAAATCCGGTATCAACTAAGACTTCGTTTGAAACAGCTTTCTTACCGTTTTTTAAATCAACGTTTTAGTACTAATACGTCATCAAAAAATTATGTTGATCGGGCACGAATCTCGATGCAAATCAAGTTGGAAACTTCCAAAATTAAAATTGGGACCATCTAAACTCCGATTTCATCATTTACAGTCGAACTGAACGTCTCGGAAATATGAACCCAATGACACCAAATTCGACTCAATCCGAGCCCAAATGAGTCCAAATCAAGGACCCGAAGTTCTGTTTGAAAGTTCGTAACACAATTTTTGTTACCAAATGGTCTCCAAACTTGACAAGGTTATATTCGAATCGAGCGGCTCGATGAGTCAAATCCAACGAGCCCAAGATCACTGAATTCCAAAATCATTAAGACCTCCAAATGTCTGACGAACGGCCCATGATCAAGGGATTTAATATCGGCCGTCCATCAAACCACTCCACATTTACCCCTGATCTCTCACCTATTTACGGGTCATGCCACTCCAAAAAATCTATAAATAAACCTCTCATTTCTCTTGAAAAGAGATGAAAGAAATAAGAGAAGAAGAAAAGAGTAGGAAGAAGCTCCTCCTCGATCATCGTCGGACCTTCGCCAGACCACCACCTGAGCCCCTCGCCTTTGCCGGACCACCACTTGAGGCTCTCACCTCTGCCGGACCACAGTCTGATGTTGTTGCTCTGCCGGACCACCACTTGAGGCCCTCACCTCCGAAGGGATCACCGCCTGACGTCGGCTCTCCGCTGGACCATCACTTGAGGCCCTGTGCTCCACCAGGCCACCACTTGAGGCTCTCACCTCTGCCGAACCACCGCCTGACATCGTTGCTCTGTCGCACCACCACTTGAGGCCCTCACCTCCGTCGGACCACCGCCTGACATCGTTGCTCTGCCAAACCACCACTTAAGGCTCTGTGCTCCACTAGGTCACCACTTGAGGCCCTCACCTCTATCGGACCACCGCCTGATATCGGTTCTCCGTCGGACCACCATTTAAGGTCCTCACCTCCGCTGGACCACCGTCTGACGTCGTTTCTCCATTGGACCACCACTTAAGGCCCTGTGCTCCACCAAGCCACCACTTGAGGCCCTCACCTCTGCCGGACCACCGCCTGACATCGTTGCTCCGCCGGACCACCGCTCTTGACGTCGTTGCTCCACCAGACCACCACTTAAGGTCCTGTGCTCCACTAGGCCACCACCTAAGGCACGAACTTCTATCGGACCACCGCGTGACATCGTTGCTCCGCCAGACCACCACTTGAGGCACGAACTTCCACCGGACCACTACTTGAGGCACGGACTTCCGCCAGACCACCACCTGAGGCTCGAACTTCTTTCGGACCACCACCTGAGGCCCGAACTTCTTCCGGAGCAACACCTGAGGCCCGGACTTTTGCCGGACCAACACGTTAGGCCTGAACTTCTATAAGGTCATCAACTGATGCTTAGAATTCTACCAGAGTACCGCCATACACCAACGGTCCTTCAGACCCCAGTCTCATGTTGACTATGATCCTTCCAACCTCTGTCGCCTACTATGATCGTTTCATCCTCCATCATCAGACAACGGTCTTTCAGACCCCGGCCTCCTGCCAACTATGATCTTTCAGGCTCATGTCTCCTATCGACTACGGTCCTTCTGACCTCCGTCCCATACTACGGTCGTTCCGACCTCCTTCACCAGACAACGATCTTTCTGACCCCGATCTCCTGCCAACTATGGTCTTTCCGACCTCTATCTTATCAACTATGGTCCTGCTGACCAAACAAACATATCAATGTTGATTATTATAACTCCCACCATGTAATGCACTCTATATAATGTACATTTGTACCATCAAGCCAAGGCCTTCTCCCAAGGAAGGGCCTCATTTGTAATCGACTGCAAATACTAGTGGATTCATTCAAACTAGGCCAGTCCCCGTGGTTTTTCCCCATATTCAGGGGCTTCCACGTAAAAACGCTGGTGTCTCTTATGAATGCTACACCCTCTCTCTTATATGTTTGTTACAACGCTAAGACATTAAATTATATATTTCTCTACCGCCGCGAATATTTTAGGACACAATTAATAAGTACAAAAAATTTATTTTAATATTTTTGTGCTAAAAAAATTCTTTAACAAGCAGTAATAAAGTCGTCCCAAATAAAGCCTCAAGTATATATCAACTAAAAATATATAGAAGTAAATAAAAGAAGGAAGCAGTCAAATTGAGCAAGAAAATTCAATTTACTCACCAACGGTTCGATGGATTATTTTTCCAGTTCTGTCCTACTTGGCTGCAAGGCAGTTTTTGAACTAATTGAAGCGATCAATAATACTCATAGTTTGGCTGGTTAAATCAGCCGATTTAATTTGATATTTTAAACCAAATTTGAATCACGAGGAAGCTTCATTTTCATCAAAAAAAAAAAATTATCTCCTAAATGCAGACAAAACAAACCAAATAGCAAGTTTGTGTTGGTAACTAATCAACCCGTTTCAGGGATTGCTTTGAACAATACAAGTGGTAGAATATTGTCTTAGGTTGCTGAATCCGCTAAGTTTGAGCCACCTGATGCAAAAAATAAGAGCCACCTGATTGCTGGAAAACTACAAGGCCGAATGCTTTCTGCGAACTCTCTTCAAACTTTACTAATATGTTTGTCTGATGAATTTATAGATGGTCTCTGATTGCTGGAAGACTACCAGGCCGAACTGATAATGAAATAAAGAACTATTGGAACACAACATTAGGCAAGAAAGCGAGCTTTCAACGTCAAATTCAACACATACATAAGCCAAGCAACATTCGAAGGCCAAAAGCTTCTAATCATCTACTGCCATCATCATCGCCACCACCTCCACAAACCAAAAACAATACTACTTTGAACCAAACAATGGCCATGAGATGCAGTAAATTAGTCTTTCCATTATCGCTTCCATCTTCTTCAGCAAGCAAGCAGAGTCCCCCAACCATGCAATTAGCAGAAGAGTCAATGGCTAAGGTGACTAGTGAGATGCCTGAAGAAGAAGAACTGTTTCAGGCGGTGGAGGAGAATATGGAGTTTGAAGATCAGGCTGTAATGGAATTTGAAGGATTGCAGGACTTTGACAGCTGGGTGTTTAATGATGAAGAAGAAGATTACCTTCCTGATGATGATCAAATGCAAATGTTAACCTCTTTATTCGGTATGGGAGGTGGATTCTAAGAACAACTACTCTCATCTGATGTCTGTTTACCAATCTTTTATGTGACAATATGGATGTTAAGTGCTCAGTAGAGACATAATTTTCAAAAAACATTAGACCCTCCATTAAAATTGATCTTACTAAGACTTTTTGGAACTAATTACACTGGTGTATGAAAATGTTTAAACAGTCTAGCTTAGGCATTCCAACAAGTTGTGTGAAATGGGCTGATTGACAGTAAATTCATGATTCCAATTTTAATAAGTTTGAACATATACAAATTGATTTTAATTTATTTATATTTAGTTGAATGAATTTCTATCTTATTTTTTTATGAAGAATTATATACATGCCACAAAAAAAAAATTATGTTGACAAATCAAACATCAAGCATAGGAATACAAACTATCGAATTTAATAAAAGAAAATTTATAAGTTTGGGCTATGTTCTGAATTTCAATATTTGAGTAAGAATTTGATGAATGGAGGTCAAATAGTAGTATATGTATGAAAATAGTGCTCATTCAAGCTTTTATTGGAAAAATATATTATATTTTAAATGAGCCTACAATAATAGATATTCCATCAAAGCTATTATCAATTTTTATTTAGAATAATTTTTTTATTTATGCACTAAAAAAAAAATACTCCAATGATAATGATGTCAAATATTTGGCTTGGCCGAATTGGATGGTTCTGCTCAGCTAATGAGCTCAAATTGAGAGGTAGAAAGCCTTCATGTGCATCCTCAAGTGAGGCTTTTGATGCATTAATACATCAAGAGAAGATGGTATGTGCTTGAAAGGAAGGACAATGAGCAAGCCTACCGGTTAAACATGAACCAATCACAAAACCGATCAAGGCCACTCTGAAAACCGCTTGTGCATCAAATTGGTCAGACCCGTCGGTTCAACCCTCGAACCAATCCCAATTCCTTTGAACTAGCTAGTTCAATTGCCTGATTATTTAAATAAATAAATTTATTACATTACTAATAATTTTACTATTTATTACTACATCCATTTCAATCATAATCAAATCATTGAACCCTGAATCTTTCCTCCGGTTTAATGTCTATTACAATTTTCGCAACCTTGATAATTGGTATAAAGATCAGTATGATTTTAAGCACAAATAAACTTCAAATGCAAAAGGAATTTATCACATTTAATTAATTCAACCTAGAAACAAAGAAAAGCAAACAATCAATCACAAGTAAACGCATGAACCATTAATATTAATGTCAAAATTTGAAACAAAAGATCAAATGCATTAATGTACCAAAATGATGCGGGATCAGCAGATATATTTCTACATAAACTAGTTAATTTCATTTATTTATTATTAATTTTATTTTTTTTACAGTACATACAGCGATTATTCACAAGAACCCCGTCTCCTTTTCCTGTACAATTCCACCATGGCCTACAAACTGACTGGAACCAAACTCTATTTCGGAATCTGAACGTTTGTCCGCTAATTCCCTCACCCGCAGCAATATTGGCGTGGGAATCGGCAAGGAAGCTGGTTTCCTGGAGTTCCCAATCTGCAACCGAAATAGCAAGAGAATCAGAAAAATCTTCAAGACCGAATTGGCATGTGAAAGCTCGATAATATTGCTTCCAACAGTGCAACAACAACAACAGCAAGTCTTTGTCCTACTATGCGGGGTAGACTACATGAATCTTTTTTCTCTAGTGTGTTATGTTAAAAGTCAAATTCTCGCTTAAATCTAATAAAGAAATATAATTTCTAATATTTTTTAACCAAGTCTTTTTAAGTCTACATCTACCTTTCTTAACACAAGTTAAATCTAATACCTCTATTTTTCTAACCGGGTCTTCAGAAGGCCGCCGTTTTATGTGTCCAAATCATCTAAGGCGACTCTCTAATCTTACCTTCCACGGGAGCTGCCCCAACCTTTTCAAATTGCTTCCAACAGTGCAATTGTCAAAAAAGCGGTTTTCAAGATTCCGGTTTGAGCTACAAGTGGTACACAGCTTACATTGGTCTATTGGTTGGGAGCTTATACTACCAACTAAGAGATCTTGGATTTAAGGCTTGTGTATGCGATATGTGTGTGAGTCTGCTTTAATTGGCCTAAATATCCCAAAAAATAAAAATAAAAAAAGCTGCACAAGTGGTTTTCTGGGGAAGTGCATATTGCACTTTTTTTATTACTCATCACCATCAACATTACTTTTATCCCATCTATTTGAGACCAACTTTATGAACATCTTTTCTATTCATTTATACTGGGTGTTGCAGAAGGAATTAAACTATTTCTTGACCGTTTAACAAGAGCATTAGAAGCAGCTTCAAAATTATCGATGGCACTAACAAGATTAACCAAGTGATTGCCTGCTAAAAAAGTCGAAAATAACCAAGGATTTTTAAGAAATGGATAAACTAATTCAAGAGGGATAGGAATCAACTAGTTGCCAATCATGTTGGCGGACAGATTTTATTTGAGCTCTAGTGTCTTCCTAGTTGAGATTATTGGTCATCTAATGACGCAGGTGACAATCTTATCTCAATGGAAATGATAATATAGCATTCTACTCAAATGGGAGCGATGAATCTGTCTCAATGAACAAAAAGGGTTATAAATTTACTTGAGAAAATAAAGAAAAGCAAGGCTGCTGTTTCTTACCCCTTTATCAGTTGGCACTTGTGCAAAGCTAGCTTTCAACAGATTTCGCCATTTATCCTGAGGATGAAGAAGACTCAGGCAACATAGTATAAAGAAAGCTGGGAAATGAAGAATGCAACTACAAATCCACCTCACAAAGTAGTCATCAACTTCTAGAATATTTTGGAGGACGCTACCCTAAATTTTATTCTTATAAATACTAAATTGAAGTCACTGCTAGCTTCAATTTACAACAATCTACCGGGGAAAATTTTGAAAAAAAATCAGAAACTGTAGTAACTTGCAGAAGCAAGGTGATCTAGAAACAAATTTCAACTACTAGGTTTTGCTCTATGAAGCAGATGATGACTCCCAAAGTCAACTTGATTTGGGAAAATACGAAATCATAGACCAAAATCTAGCTCATCTTATAAGTAAACTGGAAATGATAACTCAACATGCAAGCAAGCACGTAGGTTATTAAGCTTCAGCAAAAAGCGTACCTTGAGATCAACGGATGTTCGATGAGAACCTGATGCAAAAGCTACTTGTCTGATTTGAGACCACCTTCCAGCTCCATACCTGGACACTCCTTCAACCAGCTTCAGGACCTCACCAAGAGTCCAGGCCCGGTGATGCTTCCTCTTAACACTAGCTTCCACTGGATGTACAGTATCAGATTTTTCATGAAATGCAGCACCAACGGAAGAAATAAACTTTTCATGCTTTTGGTGTGGCGACTGTTCACTATTCAACACTTCTGGGTTCATTTTTTCTCTTTCCGTGTGGACAAAGTTCTACGAGTACAATCAAAACAAAAAAAAACGCTAGGAGCAATTTTAATCATTAGCTAAATTGAAACAAACAAACTTTGCTGGCAGGGATTTAATTGTCAAAGCTACAGCTCCGAAAGATTAGCCCATAGATAATCCAGAATTGATAAACAAACAAAAGTTGACCAAATTTCTAGTTTTAGCTACTCCAATCTCTGAATTATTTTGGATTTACATTAACGAATCGCTACAAGCAGTGATTTTTGAATCAGATCCGACATTTGAAACAGTTGAGGTGATTTTTTAATCAAAACTAATCGGTTTGGAAAAAGGTTCACCATCAGGCAGTCTAATCCAATTTTCACAACCACAAATACAAGTCTACAAGGAGAGCCACTAAAATAATTAATGCAACTTATCTTTCAAAGCCAGTTCTTGGTTCCAACGAAATCAACTTGAAACAAATCTATTTCTGTAAGCATTAAAGGCTGTTGAATTCAAACTAAAGTATTCAAATCCACTCATGAATTACGCCTATTTTACACTAAGTTCTATAGCAGGAGGAATATGATAAAGAATTCTTAAATGTTTTTAGCTAAACAGAGTAATAGCTAAAACTAAAGAGAATATATAATTTTGTGGAGGAACGAAAAATTTTTGTCGCATACACCATAAATTTTATATACTTGATTAAACCATAAAAAAATATTAAAAAAAATCAAATTAAACAGGTACTTTTTATGTTTGCAAAATAAAGTCACTCCACTAAAAAGAGATACACGAGTTGCTCCAAGATTGCATTCTTTGTTGTCACAATACTATGGAAAGTGCACGTGTCAGGAAGGAGTTTCCTTTGTGCACCACAAATAACCCAATTTTGAAACGGTTGTTTTGCAAAAAATAGTAAGATAAGCACTGCATCATCAAACAAAGTTTAGATTTCATAGATCTAGCTCATCTTCATCATTAGCCCTATCCAAAATTTTTAGGATTGGCTTTATAAATCCTCATTCTTCACTCATTTATGTTGCCAGTTGCATGAGCTATTAACACTATTCTATGCAAATATTTTTGCACAATTTCTATCCATATTTGTTTTGGCCCCTTTTCCTTCCAAATCTTTTAACACTAATTTTATTTATCTACTATATGGGTGTATTTTCTACTATTTATTGTATATATCCAAACCAGCTAAATCTATTTCCTACTACCTTATCTTCCATATATCCTAATTCTACTGTCTACCTAATATAATCAATCCCAAATCCATCCATACATTCAAATTAAAATTCTCATTTATGTCAGGCTCAACTTAACTTTTGTTGAATTTACCAACACTCTGATCAATACAATATAATTAGCTTACTTTCATTTTTTTCTGATATTAACCTTTAAGCCTGGTATTTTCTTACATAATACTCTAAATACTGTCATTTTAATCACCCAACTTTAAGTCCAAAGTTATATCCTTACTATTCATACCCTCCTTATTTATTTAGAAATCCAAAATACTTAACCTATCACACTTGATATCAATTTATCTAGTAATATTGATTATTAAGATTTAGTATTACACCCACTAAAAGTGCATATCATATACTTAGGCTTTCTTCAACTTAATAATAAACCCATCAATATTTTCTTTTCTATTCAAACCTTTCAAGCTTTTCAAGAGATGCCTCATTGATTAAAATTGTCATTTGCAAAAAAAATATGCATTATGGAACATCACTAGAGTGTAAGAAAGTTAAGCTCATGCTCAAGCCACCTCAATTTGAGCTTGAGCTTGACTAATTAATTGAGTTTGAATTCGAGCTCAAGCATAATTTAATGAAATTCTAACACATTTGCTTAATAGGAAAAATAAAAGATGATGACAATATAATGAGTTGCGGTAATGAAACCATAAAAACTAATGATAAAATTAAAATAGAAATAATAAGAAATCTATTAAAATAATGAATATAACTATGATTTTTTATTTTTTTAAAACCTTTACAATAAACCTTTGAAATTTAATATTTATTGATATTACTATTATTAAACAATTTGGCTTGCGAAAAAATGAGTCCAATCGAGACCAGCACAAGCTTAGCTCATTAGCTCATCGAGCTTGACCCACGGCTTTATCGAGTTGAGCTCAAGCCGGCTCACGAGCCAGCTTTACACAATTACATCCCTAAACCTTACTTTCAATATCATTTGTAAGAATCCATATAACAAATTCAAAAAGTGATAAAGTATGTCGATTTTTTATGTAACTCTACTGTGACTAAAACCTCCTAGATCACTTTACAACTACTAATACTAACCAAAGCTCCATCATATATATTTTTCATAACTTCAGTGCACCATTATCCTTATGCACACTAATTCAATTGTTGATGTACTTGATTAAAAGCATTTTCAAGTCAACAAAAAACATACTAAGATCCCTTCTATACTCAAAGTAATAGGTGTAATTCAAAGTCTCAAAATAAAATAAAGTACTTCAAGTTTTAAATGACATACTATCAATGACTTAATGTGACTTTGAAGGATGAACAAGACAAAGAAAACAACAACAACAAAAATAACAAGCCTTTATCCCACTACGTGGGGTCAGATACATGAATCTTTTGTTTCCACTGTGTCTTGTTAAGGATCAACTTCTCAAATCTAATAAAGAACGGATATTTCAAATATTTTCTAACCAAGTCTTATTATGTCTACCTCTACCTCTCTTAACATAGGTCAAATCTAATACATCTACTCTCCTAATCGGATCATCAGAAGGCCAAGGTTTTATAAGACCAAACCATCTAAGACGACTCTCTCTAATCTTATCCGCCACTGGGCAAGATAAAGACAGTTAAAATAAAATTAATTTTAATTTAATAAAACATTTTTTTGCTTTTTATTATTATTCTATGAACAAAATAAGGAAAGATGTTAATACACAATTAGCTTGAATAAGAAGTGAGTTTATTATCAATAGTCAAGTTGAATATGGTACAAGAAAATGTCCAAAATAATCTCCCAATTATTAGTATGTGTTAATCCCATAATTTTATGTTGCCCAATTTAGTCTCTCAACTATAAATAGATCCAATTTGATCCCACGGTTAACAAAACTGTCCAAATTGATAGAAGGTGTCGATGCTATCCTGCTACTTCATAATTTGAGGAGGATATTTTAGTAAAAACTTTATAATTTATATTTGGTTAAACTCATTTACCAAAACTGCTTACCCATACCAATAATTAGAATACATAATTTACTTTAATTAATAGATGTCAAATACAAAATAATATAACATAAGGAAAATATTTAATTATTTTTTCAAATTTTAGGGGGTTATATAATTGCCAGTTAAATTTTCTAAGAGGTAAATAAGAATTGTCTTATAATTTGTGTTATAGTAACTTATTTGCTTGATACTCCTAACAAATATTTCTTTTACCAATTATTCACCATAATTATTTAGTAGCTTAACTTTCTTTCGTGTTTCTATTTTTTATTATTCATTACATGACAAAATAGAGCAACATAAATACATTTTCGCATGCACCTAAACTATCTAAAATACCTCCACATTCAACTTTGGTGCTATCTTTAACTTTCATTTCCAACCCTGGAACTAAATTGGATCAGTTTTCAATAGGCGAGGGACTATATTGAAGCGATGTGAAACTCATAGACTAAATTGGGCACCTACTAATAGTCGGGTAACTTTTTTGGACTTTTTCTCAATATGGTATTGTAAAGAACTTTCTTATCAAAAGAGGCATGCATGGTTAATGTAGCACCAAATACAGATGATATTTATAGAGCAGTACGACTTTCTTTGACTTGAATCATAGAAAATTTATTTCTTATAGCAACAAGATTTCTTGATAATTGCATGGGGAAGGGGTTCATCATGAAAGTATTTTCTCATTCATTATTTTCTTTATTGGAGCCTCCCTCATAATGAGAATTGCAATGTTGAAATTAGGCTAAGACAAATGGCTCCTGACTAGGAAGATATCAAATATAGCTGAAGCAAGGGGGAAAAAGTTACATCTATTGTGATGCCCGTTGATCATATTCTTAAATCATGGGATACTTCAAGCATTCCACTATGTGTTGCATGATCAACAACAAGAAGACTTCGAATTTCTTATTCTTGTAATCAAAATTGAAGAATTTTTTCCTTGAAAAAGAATGATGCAGAGAGTCAGTCAATACTTGAACTTTAAGAACCTTATGTCTTATCCATCATTACCATCTTTTTTCATTAAAAATTAGGATTGAGTGTGGCTCAAGCAAGTTCTTCAAAGGAAGCATAATTCTTAATATAATCAATCAAATTTATAAGATTCTAGTTAAACAAAGGTGCTCCCAAAAAAAAGGTAACAACTCTTCATCAAAACTAAAGAAAAATAATTTAAAGTGTCCTTTGTAACATGGATATCAAGATGGTGCATGTTCTGAGATAGACTATAACACCAGTCAAGTATGATTAATTTTGGCTTAGTCGAATAACTTTCTCAAATTCAATTTTTATACAAACATGTCCTGATTTGAAGCTAGAAACCAAGAACCCAAGAATTGAGATGGATCTAATTTGATTTAGCTCCACCTCTAAGGCATCTCCACGTGAGGAGAATCTCAAAGTGGTCATCGAGAGTGCAAAAAATTTGTGTTACACTGAGCAAACCATAAAATGAGTTTTTCTTTGAATTTTTAATAGTTCTTTTTGTATTTTGAATTATACATGCCTATAATTTTAACTTACCATATAAGTTTATAAAAAATATAAGTATGAAAGCATTTTGATCGCACATGTCCAAAGTTTGATGATGGATGTTGCATTGTTTGAAATCAATTTTGAGGATTTTTTCCGGAAAATGGACAAATCTACGCAGGAAATCCACCAAACACTCGTATTTACAACGCAAACGAACCCATTTTTTTTACTAAATGGGCTATGTTTCTATGGTGCAACTATTTGGAGTTGGGTTTATGAATCATCCTTTGTTCATTCTTATTGAGTACAACA